GGCAACCAAACGAGACCCAGCCGATCAACTGGGACTCAGGAAGCAAATAAGAGATGGGGTTGGTGGGGCCAGTCAGAAGTGGGATTTGCCCGTTCTCCAAACTACTCGTAATTTCCACTACCGGTTCTCCAGAACCGGTCAGAACCTGCTGAATAGTACCTAGGATTCCGCTTCTAGGATTATCAGTTCAGACATTGTGCTGAACTATGGAATAATCTTTTCCTGATCAGAATCTCCCAGAGTGAGTCTATTTCTCTTCTTTTTCTTTATTTTTCTTCCGTCCCTCATTCTTTCTCCTTCTTGGCCTACCATTTTCTACCTCTTTTCACCTCTTTTGCATTCAGCAAGGGGACAAAGCCATTTTTGCCCAGCTCTGAATTTTTGAAGATGTCGGGTTATTCTTTATCGTATTCATTTACTGAAGAGCATTAGAATATTATTCATACGTCACTATATATACCGTATTGGAGGCATTCATCACATCCGTACACACTTTCTTGAAGGGACTGGAAATTGGTTGTACATGTATATGAAATTCTGTGGGAATATTTCCAAATACTTCTCCTCCTCTGGCTGATTTTTTTAAGTTCCAGAGATTTATGCCTCATATTTACCTCAGTCCTGATACACGGTTTTAACTATAGGTAAGAAGATCACACCTAGAGTCCTGCATCCAGTTTTGGTCACCATTATAAAAAGATGTTGAGACTTTAAAGTGCAGAGAAGAGCAACCAGGATGATAAGGGGACTGGAGACTAAAACATATGAAAAACGGTTGCAGGAACTGGGCCTGGCTAGTCTAGGGAAGAGAAGGACCAGGGGAGGCAGGAGAACAGCCTTCCAATATTTGAGGGGCTGCTACAGAGAGGAAGGGGAGTCAAGCTATTTTCTAAAGCCCCTGAAGGCCAGACAAGGAATAATGGATGGAAACTGAACAAGGAGAGATTCAATCTGGAAATACAGTGAGAACAATCAACCCATGGAACAGAAGTTGCCTTCAGAAGTTGTGGGAGCTTCATCCCTGGAGGCTTTCAAGAAGAGATTGGACGGCCATTTGTCAGAAATGGTGTAGGGTTTCCCGCTTGGGAGGGGGGTTGGACTAGATGACCGACAAGGTCCCTTCCAACTCTGATTATCTGTTATCGAATTCTTGACTTATAACAGTTCATTTAGGCACTCAAAAAGTGACAGGATCATTTTTCACACTTACCGACCACTGCAGCATTCCCTGTGGTCACATGATCTCTAGTCAAAGCTTCACAACTGACTCACATTTATGACGGTTGCAGTGTCCCGGGGTCATGTGACCCCCCCTTTTGCAAACCCCTAACAAGCCAAGTCAATAGGGGGAAAGACAGGCTTGCTTAACAACCTGATTCACTTAACAACCACAGCAGATTGCTTTGATACTGTGACAAAAAAAAACCCCAGTTGTAAACGGGACGCTATTTACACAATGGCCTTGCTTAGCACCAGAAATTTTGGCTCACTTCTGACCCTGTTGTAACCCAGCTCCCTAAACACGACCAAACCTCTGAAGTGAACTCAAAATATTCCTTTATTAGGAATGCCGCCAGCCCTGGCAAAAACTTTCTCTCTTACTTCAGGCTAAGAAGTCCATCTGGCCGGAAGATGAATTGTTGTCTGCCACATCTATTCATCTCCGCCCCCTGCCTTTTATCCCCAGAGCTAGGATGGGGCTTTGCTAGCAGCGGTGGCTCTTCCGTCCCGAGGGCCGGCCCATAGATTTCCACTGCTCTCCTCTCCTCTGCCTTCTATGCATCGTGTCAGGCAATGGACCCAGCGGTTCCTCCTCTTCCTCATCAGCCACCTCCAGACCTGGGGGCTGTTGACTCGCCATCTGAGGGCTGACGGACGGCCCAGGCTCTGCACCTCTCTCTCTCTCTGTGCCAGCTCTATTCCCTCTTCCCCCCTCGGTGCTCTCAGGGTGCCCTGATGCTGACCATGACTCCCACGCCGCTTCCTCCTTGTCTGATTCCGCTGCTGGAGTGGTCGGCGGCCCACAACAGGTCCTAAATCAGTAGGAGCTAACCTTTTTGGGTTCCTGTGCCAAAAACTGTGTGCGCGCTTGCAAGTTTGCGCTCATGTGTCAGCACCCAGAAGGCAATGTGTGCCTCCCCCAGACCCCCTATGCATGTGTGTGCAATCCCCCACCTACCCACTCCCCACTTATCTGCACTGCGCCTTTTTGGCCGGTTTGAGGCCTTTTTCAACCTTCCGAAGGCTTCTGCAGGCTTTTTAGGCCGAAAACTAGCCCTGTTTCATCACTTCCTGTTTTTCGAGAATACCGGAAACGACGAAACGGGGCTAGTTTTCAGCCTACAAAACTGGTAGAAGCCTGCAGGAGGCTTCCTCAAGCCTTTGGGAGGCCGAAAAAGGCTTCAAACCAGCCGAAAATCAGCTGTGAGGCACGTGCATGCGCAGTGAGGTAAGTTTGCCTGCAGCTCACGTGCTGGCACAAATGGCTCTGCGTGCCACCTGTGCCACAGGTTCACCATCACGGTCCTAAGTAAACTTGGGAGGGGTACCCAAAGATCATCTAGCCCCACCCCCCTGCAATGGGTCTGAAAAGCTAACTAAGCCGCCCTCAAGGGATGCTTGCCTATATCCAGCCAGAACGTTTGCATGCGTTCAGTGCCCCACCATTAAAAACAAACCATTCGCCAGGATGATGGATCGCTGACTTTCTGGTCGTGTATTCCTTGCCTCCTTCTGAACTCGGAAAATACGGTCAGGTTAGAAAACGAGACCACAAGGAAAGGCCAAGGGTGTAGGTGAGACTGATTTCTTCTATAAATACAGGGAAAAAAGCTAACAAAAACCTTTTAACATTTGAGAAGAGACTTTTAAATGCCCCCTCGGCCTCAGTCAAGATCCGGTTGTAAGAAAACCCGTTTATTTGATTCAATAGGGTGGTTCCGTAGGGGTGTCTACAGGAGAGGGTACAGTAGAACTTCTCGTCATGACCATAATTTGTTCCTTAACTTTGGTTGCAACCTGAACCTAATTTTGGAAAATTGGCACCTACAAAAAAGAAAAAATGGCACGGAAGGAGAAATTGGCCTCAAACAACAATAAAAATTGTGAATTTTTTGGTGGGAACCCGATTTGGTCTCGGTCAGAAGCATTAGTTACCAGAGATTCTACTCTATATTGAAAAAAACTAAGATGGCTGGCCATTCCATCATGATTTGAACCCACAGCTCTTTTATAAAACAAACATTCAAGGCACCATCATGGTTATTTGGATCTTCCCACTGACACGGTAAGCTAAACTTGTGGCGTTTCTTAAACCTCAGTCTCTTGTCAGATGGGCGGACCTTCAATTCCCAGAATTCCCCGCTGGCTGGGGAATTCTGGGAGTTGAAATCCACCTACAGGTAGTCCTTGACTTACAATAGTTCATTTAAGCGGCTGTTCCAACAGTACCAAAAAAATGTGTCTTATGACCGTTTTTCACCCTTACGACTGTGGCAGCATCCCCATGGCCATGTGATCAAAATTCAGACAGTTGGCAACTGTTTCATACTTATGACCATTGCAGTGTCCCCTGGGGGGGGGGGCGTGATCCTCTTTTGCGACCTTCCGACAAGCAAACTCAACGGGGAAGCCGGATTCACTTAACGTCTGTGTTACTAATTTAACCACCACACCGATTCAACGAACAAATATGGCCAAGAAGAATCGTAAACACACTGAACAAATTTCTCACTTAGCAACGTGCATTCAGGACTCCATTGTGGTTGAACGGCGAGGACTACCTGTATCTGAAAGAGACCGAGGTGGAGAAACTCTCTTCTAAAGGCACAACTGAGAGCAGATAAGGCAATCTGTCTGAAAAGTCCACATTCCTGATAAAATTCTATATATTTTTTTAGTTTGTCAGCCATTTGGCAAGGCAGTTCTAAGTGTTTGCGGCAAGTGAGTGGGATTCTAATGGTTCGCACCGGTTCACTCAAACTGGTAGTAAAAAATGCTACAGTTTGGGCGAACCAATAGTAAAAAAAAAAAAAACAGGTACCGGTTTGGCTGAACCAGTTATCTCTTTTCTTTTCTTTCTTCTTCTTCTGATGATCAGCTGTTCTAACGATCAGCTGTTCCGACATTCCCCTCACTGTCTTACTGCTTCGCCCAGGAAGCTTCCCTGAGTCCCAGGAGTCAGAAAGGCGCTGTAGGGCTCCATATTCGACTAGGCCCGCCAGTAATACAAGAATAAAAGATGCTAATCGGGGATTCCCTCCCACCGGTGACGAAGTGGATGTGGAACGGGGATCCTTCGCACTGCTACCTGGGAGGGGGAGGCTGAATGGGAATTCCCATATGACATGGCTGGGGCGCTCCGCTATAGTGCGGGGAGGGAGGGATTTATGTTTACAGGGTGTTCAGGGAAGTAGAGGAGATCGGCGATAAGGAGGGTGCAAAGAGTTCGAAGCTATGGCATGGGAGTACAGCCCAAGTCACTAATTAGCCGTATTAGGAAACGTCGAATACATCGGCAATTAGAATAGGGCGGCGTACAGGAGGGAGCTGCGATTAGATGGGTGGAGTTATGCTATAAAGAGCGCCTCAGCCACGGGAAGGCAAACGCTCCCAGCGCTAACCGAGATCGGAATTCAAGCCGGCGTCGCCGGAGGGGATGTGCGTTACTTGTACTTAAATAAATGACTTGCATACATCAATGTTTGTTGGTTTGTGTCTTGGGGATGTGAACATCTTGAAGTACCGGATGATGGGCGCCCGGGAGTGTGTGTGTGTGCGCTACCAAAAAAACAAAACAAACAAAAAGGCCACGCCCACCCAGTCAAGATGGCCACAACCACCTAGACCCTCCCATCTTGAAGCACCCCCGCTGCACTCAAAAATGGCTGCCCAAGAGCTGCTTCTCTGAGGCCCGGAAGGTCAAAAAAAAAAGGAGTGCAGAGGGACAGGTGGGTGTTACAAAAAAGAAGCCACGCCCACCCAGTCACATGGCTACCACCACCTAGCCACGCCCACAGAAACGGTAGTTAAAAATATTTGCATCCCGCCCCTGGTTTGCGGGAGCCGTTTTTGAACCTCCGCCTCCTTCAGATCTCCGTTTCCTTCTGCTCTTTCCTTGCGGAAGAACGTTTGCGTCGTGGGGGATCTTCTCCTTCCTCGTTGCCCTCCATGCTAGAGGGGTAAGGCAGTTCCACCAAGCTGGGGGCGAACGGCCCCACCACCCAAGGCAGGGGGACGTTCTGCACCACGTAGTCCACGATCTCGTCCACCGAACCCCGGGCTTTGACGATCCGTTGACAGCTCTCAGCCAAGGTGCTGGGGGACACCTCCTGGAAGGAATCGGAGGCCAAGAAGGATCCGTTGAGGTCCTCCATCATGTGCCAGATCAGCTTGGCTTTGTCTTGGAGGCCGGCGGGCAGGCCCCGGAGCTGAGACACGAAGGTCAGATAGGAAAGCTGCAGCTGTCGAGTCAGTCCACGAAACATGGCCATCGCCCGGGACTCGACCTAGAAAACAGCACCCCAAAAATAGTGCTTAGGAAGTCAGAGGAAAAGATGCCCTAGAAAGTTTTGACTTAAAAAAAAAAAGTTTAAGCCCTTTTAAAAAAGGGTGCAAAAAAGGAAAGGAAAAAAGGAGAGGCTTCCCCCTCCTCCCAATAAGGCCAAAGGATTTGAAAGAATAGGATAGAAATAAGAACGGAATAGAATATTGGAATGTAGAACAGAATAGAATAAAAATAATAGGATAGTATGGAAATAATAATAGAATAGGATAGAATAGAATAGAATGAATAAGGAATAGAATAGAAATAATAATAGAATAGAATAGAAATAATAATAGAATAGAAATAATAATAAAATAGGATAGGATAGAATAGAAAATATGGAATGGGATGGAATAGAAAGAGGAGAATAGAAATAGAAAGAGGAGAGGAGAGAAAGAGGAGAGAATAGAAATAGAAAGAGGAAAGGAGAGAAGAAGAAAGAGGAGAATAGAATAAACAGAATAAAGGAGAACAGAAACAGAAATAAGACAAGAGAAGAGAAAGGAGGAGAAGGAGAAAGAGAAGAGAATTGAAAGAGGAAAATAATAATAGAAATAGAAAGAAGAGAAAAGAAAGGAGAAGGAGAGTAGAGTAGGGTAGAGTAGAATAGAATTCTTTATTGGCCAACTGTGGTCAGACATACAAGGAATTTGTCTTCAGTGCATAAGCTCTCAGTGTACATAAAAGATATAAATAAACTCTGATTATAATCATAAAATACATTCATCATGAATCATAAGATACCACACTTAGTGATAGTTATAGGATACTAAGTAAGCAATCGAAAACATACCAGGAAGTAAATAACACAATATAAATAATAAAGATACAAGCCACAAGATTATAGTGAAAAGAAGATAGAGTAGAGTAGAGTAGAGTAGAGTAGAGTAGAGTAGAGTAGAGTAGAGTAGAGTAGAATAGAATTCAATTCTTTATTGGCCAAGTGTGACTGGACACACAAGGAATTTGTCTTCAGTGGATAAGCTCTCAGTGTAGCTATAAGTGATGAATCGTGATCAGTGTCCTCATAAACACAGTACATTCATCATGAATCGTAAGAGACCACACTTGGTTATAGTCATAGGATACTAAATAAGCAATCAACATAAACCATACTAGGAAACGTAAATAAAACAATATAAATCATAAAGATACAAGCAACAAGGTTATAGTCGTAAGTACAAAAGGATATAGGGAATGGGAAAGATGAGAAGAAAACAGTAATATGGTCTTAGTAAATAGTTCGACAGTGTTGTGGGAATTTGTTTTTTAGCAGAGGGATGGCATGCAGGGGAAAAACTGTCCTTGTTGTCTTGTCTAGTTGTTCTGGTGTGCAACGCCCCATAACCTTGTTAATAAAATTGTGACGGTTCGCAAAGCTTAGGGGCAAAGAGGAAGACATACTACTGTTATTTCCACAGCCAGGAAGATAAAAAAGCAGGGATCATTAAATCGATTGAATAGTTTTATTCAAAGAGGAAAACATATTTTCATTGGGATATCCCTTCTGGATTTTGTGCTTGTGATGAAAAAAACTAACGAAACTTTGGTTTTGTTGAGCAGAAAGATTTGTCGTTGTCGAACAAATAGTAGTTATATGGTAAAGCAAAAAAGTCGAGTGTGTTTATCTTGTTTTGTGCTAAGGAGAGTCAGAAGTCATGCTTTCTTTCTTTCTTTCTTTCTTTCTTTCTTTCTTTCTTTCTTTCTTTCTTTCTTTCTTTCTTTCTTTCTTTCTTTCCTTCCTTCCTTCCTTCCTTCCTTCCTTCCTTCCTTCCTTCCCTTCCCTTCCCTTCCCTTCCCTTCCCTTGTGTCAACTCATAAAATATTTCTATGGTCTTTTTAGAGTGGCCAGCAGAAAGGGAGGGGGGAGCAGTGCGGCAGCTTCAGAAACCGAAACTGCATTCCATAAATGTTTTCAGAGATTGTAACTAGGTGACTGAAATTTCTGCAGCGCAAAATTCTAACTGGAGAGCATGCTTGATGACTCTGGGCTATGGAGGTGTCCCATTGGAGGATATGAATTAGGATACACTCAGGGGGTGGGGGAAAACCAGGGTCAAGGGTGACAATGAATTATGTGTCTCACAGTCAGCTACACCCAGGCAGTGCCAGACCTTTTAATTCCCAATAAATCCTTTTGAAGTTTTGGAAGTTTGGCTCGAGACTCATGATTTAAATGGGGGGAACTGCCGGAATCTGGATACCTTGTATCTCACATCCCCTTTTCCTTTCCCTTTCCTTTCATAAATTCATATTTATGACGGTTTCAGTGTCCTGGAATCAATTGATTGATTCACTTAGTGATTGATTCACTTAATGACTGAAATCTTGATTTCAGCTGTGGCCATAAATCAAATCAAACCAAATAAAATAAATAATAAACTAAAAGATAAAATAATAAAACAAAACAAAATAATCAAATAAAATAATCAAATAAAAAACTAAACTAAACTAAATAAAATAATAAATTCATAAAACAAAGCAAACTAAAGTACAATAAATAAGAATAAACAAAAATAAGAATAAAATAATAAAACCAACAAAATAAATCATACAATAATAAAACAAAGATAAAAAATAAAATAATAAACAAATAAAAGAAAAGAAAATAATAAACAATAAAATAAATAAAATAAATGAATAAAAACAAAAATAAATAATAAACTAACAAAAATAAAACAAAACAAAAAATAAAATAATAAAACAAAATAAAAACTAAACTCAAATATATGAAATAAATTAACAAAATAAAGTAAAATAAATCATAATAAAATAAAATAAAAAATAAAACAAATAAAAAATAAAATAAACTAACAAACAAAATGAAACAAAATGAAAAATAAAATAAAAGTAATAAATATAAAATAAAATAAACTAACAAACAAAATAAAACAAAACAAAATGAAAAATAAAATAAAATAAAAGTAAACAAATCAAATAAAAGAAAATAATAAAAAATAAAATAAATAAAATAAAGGAATAAAAATAAAATCATAAAAAAATAAAAGGATTGAATCTGGACCCAAGCAGGTTAGAAAAAAAAGGCAAAGCTACCTCTGTTTGTGCTGAGGAATCCAGTGGCCTGCAGTTCCGGGGATGCCTCTGGCTCCAGACCAGCCACATCTGATGGAGCTTCTCTTGGCCATTCTCCAGCGTCTGGTCCACCCCATCTCTGACATGTTGAATCTAACAAAGGGCAAAAAGCAGAGAGATGGGAGAAGTTGCCCCCAAAGGTTATTTTTTTTTAACCAAAAATCTCCTGTCTTCCAGCACGCATAGCTGTACCTGCACAGCGCAAAATCCTGACCCAATGGGCGTTGACACATCCTAGCCTTCATTGCTCAAAGTCGGCAGCTTTAAGATGCATGGACTTCAACTCCCAGGATTCCCCACCCCAGCTCAGCTGGGGATTTCTGGGAGTTGGAAGTCCTCGCATGTCGTAAAATTGGGCGCGAATCACTTACCAACCGCTGTGCTTAGCGATGCAAATTGGGGTCGTAGGTCGGACTAGTTTACCTGCTTCTCTGACATCACTGCAAGTCAGCCAAAATGGGAGTTAAGCAAGCGTTTTGTCTGCTAAGAAGCACGAGCACCCAAAAGACGTAAACATTCAGGCAGAATAGAGTGGGAAGGGACCTTAGAGGTCTTCTAGTCCAACCCTGTTTAAGCAGGACACCCTATACCATTTTCAGACAAAGGGCTGTCCGGTTTCTTCTTACAAACCTCCAGTGATGGATAGAGCACCCACAACAAGCTTTTCCACTGATTAATTTGTCTGAGATTATAGAATAATAGAGTCAGAAGGGAATTTGGCGAGTGTCATGCCACTGACTCCGAGGGAGAGGAGGAACAGCCGACAGGGAGTGGAAGTGGGGCTCCGGAGGTTGTGGAGGAGGCTGGGGAAGGGCAGAGGCCGGCTGGGCAGTCAGAGGAAGACTCAGGCCCATCCCCTCTCCATCCTAGGGCATAAGGGAGAGATGTGAATGGTCTACAGGGGAGGAAAGGGCCCTGATCCCCTTCATGGGCTGCAGCTGTGACAACTGGATAAGAGGACGGACATGCGTATGGGCCAGTGCTGGAAACAAAGCATGGAAATATCTCTAGTTTATTGTTCCTCTCTGAGTTTGGCGTCCTTCCCAGTGTGTGTTCTGATATCTGTGGACGTCTTCAAGCCCTTATCTTGCCTGGTTTGGGTTGTTTTTTTACTCTTTATCATTTAAATGGCATTTCCTCCTTCTTGTAACTGCTGGTGGGAGAGTTTTTTTTTGTCTCCAGTCAAGGATATTTGGAGCTTGGAAGCAAAGTGAAGGAATAAAAGAGGCTTCACCTGTGACTGTGTTTATTTTGTATCCCACCCTGGGTCACCACAGAGGGCACCTAGTCCAACCCCCTGGTTAAGCAGGAGACCCTATAGTATTTCAGACAAAAGTCTATCGAGTCTCTTTTTAAAAACCTCCAGTGATGCAGCGCTCACAAATTCTGGAGGGAAGCTGTTCCACTGGTTAATTGATCTGAGATTCTAGAATAACAGAGTCAGAAGGGACCTTGGAGGATCATCTAGTCCAGCCCCCTACTCAAGCAGGAAATCTTAATACAATTCCAGACAAATGGCTGCCCAGTTTCTTCTTAAAAACCTCCAGTGATGAATCACCCATAACCTCTGGAAAAAAGCTGTTCAAAGAAGGCTCTTACCAGCACTAAGGTCTGGTGGAGCTGGCCCAGGGCATCCTGGGTGCTCTCCTTGGCATCTTTCAACTTAGCCAGGAAATGCGGGAAGACACGCTGGCGGAGTTTGCCGGACAAGGACCCCAGACGCACAAAATAGCTTTTTGGCTCCTCCTGCTGCGGCACCGTGCCGATTTCGAAGCCTTCCAAAGACGTAGCCAGTTCAGCTGGGAGAAGAAAAAAAAAACCAGACAACATGTCAAGAGCTTGGAGGTTCAAAGTAGAAGTACAAGAATAACAGATAACAGATAATCAGGGTTGGAAGGGACCTTGTAGGTCATCTAGTCCAACCCACTGCCCAAGCAGGAGACCCTACACCATTTCTGACAGATGGGAGTCCAGTCTCTTCTTGAAAGCCTCCAGTGATGAAGCTCCCACAACTTCCGAGGGCAACTTCTGTTCCAATGGTTGATCGTTCTCACTGTCAGGAAATTCCTCCTTATTTCCAGGTTGAATCTCTCCTTGATCAGTTTCCATCCATTATTCCTTGTCTGGCCTTCGGGTGCCTTAGAGAATAGCTTGACCCCTTCCCTCCTCTCTGTGGCAGCCCCTCAAATACTGGAAGGCTGCTATCCTGTCTCCCCTGGTCCTTCTCTTCCCTAGACTAGCCATGCAACTGTTCATCGTATGTTTTAGTCTCCAGTCTCCTCATCATCCTGGTTCCTCTTCTCTGCACTTTTTCTAAAGCCTCAACATTTTTTTTTTATAGTGCAGTGACCAAAACTGGATGCAGGATTCTAGGTGTAGTCTTACTAAGGCTTTATAGAGTGGTATTACTACCTCGCTTGATCTCAACTGTATCCCTCTGTTAATGCAACCTAGGATTGCATTGGCTTTTTTGGCGGCTGCTGCTCGACTGACTGGCAAAAACGTTTAAACGTAAATCAGATAAATGTTGGAAATGCCACCAGACACCTGGAACATATTACCACACGTGGTGGCCATGTACTGAAGCTAAGAGATACTGGACAATAATACACACGGGGGTTGGAAAATATGATAAAACAACACATAGACTTAAAACCTGAAATATTTTTTGTTAGGGATGATCCCTGAAAGTTATAGCAAAGAAAAGACATACTTAATTATTCATGTATTAACTGCAGCTAGAATACCGTATTTCTCATATAATAAGGCCGGGTCTTATTTTTTTTTTTTTTGAGCCCCGAAAAAATGGCTAGGCCGTCTTTTCGGGGGTGACTTAATTCCCCCCCCTTGCATCTTCGGGTGGGCAGGCGGCAACAGCTTGGATGTTGACCTCGGCGTTGGTGGGGCACTTCGTATCGGGGTCAACGCAGGCAGCACCATATCCGGGTGTGCAACAAAAGTACTTCCTAACGGCAAGCCCCCCCCCCCGCCATTTCCCCCCCATTTCGCATGTTTTAATATAGGCCTTAATTTGTGGGGGAGGGGCTTAATTTCATTTCATGCCTATAAAACAGGCTGGGACTTCCTATTGGGGGAGGCCGTATTGTTGGAGAAACAGGGTAGTATTCGCTCAAAACTGGAAAAGGGAAAAGATTCTGATAGAAGAGAATGTGATTAGGGAAATATTAGAATGTGCAGAAATGAATAGGTTAACACTGGCAATTAAAGGAAAACAATGAACTGAATATTGTATACTCTGGGAATCATTTTATCAATGGTTGGAAAAGAAAAGCGGAAATTAGAAATTAAACATATGAATATAGAAGATATGTGTGTGTATACATACATACATACATACAATTACAAACTATTCTAAAAATACGAGTTCCAGGTATACTTGAAAAGAAACAGACATCATGCAATCTCCGGAACTTAAAATTACATACTAAAATTACATACTAAATTACATACTAATTACATACTAAAATTACTTACTAAGCTTTTGTCGGCCTCTGTTGACATTGTCAGAGTATTAAGCTACCATTACAAAGATCTTTGCCTTTATATATCATTAATGATATATAAAGGCAAAGATCTCTGTAATGGTAGCTTAATACTCTGACAATGTCAGCAGAGGCTGATGAA